GTCTACGCAGCCTCAGGAGTATTTATGGATTTGCAAATGCCTCGCACGTGGCATGCATTTCTGAGGTGAACACCTTATCTAGAGTTCAGCTCAGTCAGTGGGACTCTGCATTCTGGCAGGTACTGTGAGGATAAAAATAAAAATATGAACTATTTATGTATAAATGAGAGAGGAAGTCTAAGAAAAGGCAGACTAGTACAGTTTGCCATGGCTCCAGAAAGCTTCATGGAAGCAGCAGGATTTGAACAGAACGCTGAAAGTTTTACGTGAATGCAGAGAAGACAGAAGGCATAATGGTAGGTAGTGGAGCCTGGGCCAACGCAGGGAAATTGGCAAAACCTTGGAGAGCTTCTTGGCTGGACGGAAGGCTCATGCTTGGAAAATGAATATAAGTTATGTAGTTAGGGCAGGAGCATTGGAGACCATCCTGAACATTTGTGATAGGAAAGGGAGAGGATGGAAAGACACTTTTAGATAAATTAACCTAGAGTGGTGTACAAATGGTCTAAGAAATCCTTCCTTTGGGTTACTGTCCCTTCTCCACTCCAATACACTTGCTGGTGGGGGCTGCCAAGCTGTGCATGCCACCCGTCTGCCAAACCAGTGAGTCTGTGACTCTGGCTATGCCAATCATAACACACCATTTCCCCCAGGACACTGTGATTGGCCAGTCAGAAAATTTCCCAATTTTTTCTATGGAGCCACTTGGAAAATTCTGTGGCTATCAGTAACAGCTGACCTGAAAACAGAATCTACTCTTAAGTTCTGTGGGCATTGGAGTAACTGGCTCCAGATCTCTGAGTCCAGTTCCATCTAAGCCCTCCTTCTGTTTTCATTACATGAACCAGATTTTCCTCTTTTTTTGCTTAAGACAGTTTCCCCCATCTAGAATTCAAAACAATTCTGATTGAATCAAGAGAAAAAAGTAAAAAAGATTAACTCTGGGAGAGCCTGCTAAAAATTTGAGGGGAAAGCTGGATTGGGGGGGAAGAAAATAATTTTATTTTTGAAATGATGATTTTTAAGTTAGTAGGAGGGCATATATGTGGAAATATTCAGTGATACCAATTTGAAATTTATTCTCCTAAATCTAATTACGATAGCTAATACCTACTTAGCTCTTTCTGTGTTGACAACATTATTCCTTCTTCTTTATCTGCATTAGCTCTCTTATTCCTCCCAATATCCACTTTACAGTCAAGAAAATTGAGATATAGAGAGTAGTTGTAACTTTGCAAGGAGAACCAATCAATGAGTTTTGGAGCCCAGACAGTCTGATTACAGAGATCATCTTGAATTAAGTATAAGAAATATTGATATGTAACCCAACCCTTTATATATTTAAAATCTTTGTGTGTGTGTATGTGTGTTCGGTATATGCACGTGCACACACGTTTACCGGGGTGTTTGAGTACATATTAGTCAAAGATTCATAATATTCTTTTAAAATTGATGCTTATAGGAAGCACAATCAACCCATTTCCGTACAACTATACAGTGTATCTAGATGTATGCAATGCATGTTGATCATTTATTCACTATATTATCTCTAACAATAGTCATCAGGAAACCTTCAGTGTCAATGGATAGGACATACTGTTAAATGGACTCCATCCCTGATTTTCTATTATTCTCTACCTTGTTTACTTGCTGATTCTTTGTTCTGCACCTGCGTTAAAACAAAACATGTACCTATTTTTGGATTTGCATAACTTAACTTGTCTTGGATTTCTGCCCAGATTCTGCAACATATCAACCCTATGGTATATAACCCACACCCATCTACTCGTTATGGGATGTAAAGTGGGACACTTCCAATTGGTCCAGAATTGGTGGCTTTAGTCCCTGCTGGAAAGAAGTGGTATGAAGCACCCCACATTCTAAAGAGAGCTGCCAATAATTAGGGTTAGACATGCTGCTCAGGTTGGAGACTGGACCTTCTTCCCTCTTTAGTCCCTTTGAAGACTATATAAGGACATGAGTTGGAGGAGAGAGAGAAAGAATATCCAGCCTAGACTGTGGCTAGGGAAGATTCTGGCTGGCACCCCAGCCCCTAGTTGGTGTCCACCAGTCTGCCTGCCTAATCTGGCACTACCACTGGGAAGCTGAATATTGGAAGAAAAACATTTATGCAGAGTCCCACATCAGCAGATGCCACCGGTAGCTACTAAACTGAGCCAGAATGGAACCTGAGAGATGTCTGCTCACCACGGATGGCTGCTCAGCTCCCCCAAAACGGCTCTGTACACCCCTACCCCCACCTCCACCATCATCCCTCCTTCCTCCAATCGTATTCCTGATATTAATGGATTGACAGATTTAATAAACACTTATGGAAGTGCTTTCTATACATTAAGGACTGTTCTACATGATTTACAGATATTAACTCAATCTACACAATAACCCTAGTGAAGTAGATGCTCTTTTTATTCCCACTTTACAGACAAGGAAGCTAAGTCACAAGGAGATTAAGTAATATGCTCAAAGTCACAGGGCAGGGAAGTGGTAGAGTTGGATTGAAACAGGCAGTTGGCTCCAGAGCGCTGCCCTTAACCTTTAAGCTCCACCACTCCCACCCCTCGCCGCCAGGCCTGCACACAACAAGACACACCCTCCAAAGGCCCGGCTGAGAAGAGACCGAGAAACTTCCCTATTCAGAGACCCTCAAGACACAAGCATGGCTGGCACTAGAGGGAAGGAAAGCAATGGGATTTAGACCAGGTACAGGAAGGGTAGGAATTTTAACCTGGCCTAACCTGGGTTTGTAGTAACCAAAACCAATCATAAAACTACAAGAGTTAAGGGATAGGAATTTGACAAAGCCCAGTCAAAAGCAGGGAACGTGGGGAACAATAAAATCATTTCACATTTGTCCCTCTGGAGTTCACACTGCCCCATGAACCAGTCCCACATTAACTTAGCCATTACCCTGATGACTTATCTCAGGTCTTGGTCATACCTTGCTGAAGTACAGCGAAGATCCAGAAGAGATGACACCACATCCTTGTTCTGGTTTTACAATTTCGCCCCCAATAACTTCTTGCCAGTCAGACTCCCAACCATTCTGGTTCTCGAAATCAGACATAATTGTGGAAGGAAGTGCAGCTTCTGGGTGGCATTCAGTGCCTTGGTACCCCTGGTCACACCTAGGAGAGAGCAGTAGAAAAGTCACAGGCCTACCTGCCAACGCAATGGCCATCTCACCTGAAACATTTCCCATGTCTTATTTTTGCTCAGGTCTTATCATTCATACTAGATTTTCCTCTGCAGTGTTAATCTGTATGCCAATTTGTGTATGTGGCAACTTTCAGTTTTGCACACTCCTCCCAAATGGATAGTCTTTACTTTCTTTCTTTCTTCTTCTTTTTTTTTTTTTTTTGAGATGGAGTCTTGCTTGTTGCCCAGGCTGGAGTGGCGTGATGATAGCTTACTGTAGTCTCCAACTCCTAGGCTCACAATTATCCTCCCACCTCAGCCTCCTGAGTAGCTGGGACTACAGGCAGAATCCTTTCTTAAAAGAAATAACATTACAAGGGTAGAATTTGGGCATCAAGTAGTAACGAAGGAGGACATCAGTGTGTGTGAGTGTGAGTGTGTGTGTGTGTGTGTGTGTTGGGGGGCAAGGGAGAGTGTGATTTTCTTATAGCCTTAAAAAGCCACATATTAATGTCTGTCTGTTCAACCAACATGTAAGTCTGGCCATGTTTTATAGCTCTTCTTTCTGATTAAATTATGTATCTTTTAGAGTCTAAGTATTCAAGTGTGTTCCTCTGCCCTCATTAGTGATAATCGCCATCTCCCCATATACACAACCTTGAACTTCTGGGGAAGTGATGTAGGATAGTATGCAGCAGTGTCTGTTGCTTTAAGACTATCAGGGGAAGAAAAGGGAAACAATAGTAAGGCTCTTTTAATAAACTCTGAAATTTAAACCCAGGAGGCCTCATCTTGAGGTTAGATTTTGAAGTTTACAATATATGGTATTATACTTATTTTAAGGTAACAGTATCTTTTAGATCTAAAATAAAAACAGAAAGAAGGATCATTTTCTTTTGGCCATTTCATTGCTTAATAGTCTGTCCATTCAACTCTGATGACAACTGTTGTAGCACCCTTATAGACACAAATCCTGAGAAGCAGGGAATTGATTGCACTTTTTGGTGCGTGTACCTGCACATGCCGTGGTCACAGGAGCCGTGCCCGTTGCACATGTTGGGACACTGCTGCCCGATGTAAATGCTGTCTAAAGCCCACTCGTCTTGGGCCGTGTAATAGCTCTGACTCCAACGGAAGCGGGTGGCACTGGACCTAGAAACAAGGTACAGTGAAGAAAAAAACAACAACAAAAAAATAGTGTTTTAACCAACATGTGGTGGTATAGACAAAGAATGTCAGAGGCCAAAATCTTTCAGATAACTAACTCTCTGGCACTTGCATTTAGCTGCCCATCATTTTTCTTTAATTTCCACTCAATTTTTATGCAATTCAACAATTCTATCAGGAAAGAAAGTTAAAAAGAAGTCTGCCT